ACATATATATATATATATATATATATATATATATATATATATATCTATTTTGGTGTATACATAATGAAAAAAGGTACTTTTTCTTGGATTTTTACGAAAGTGGAATATATCTTGAGGTATTTCTAAATGCATTTAAAATTACAGCGTTAGAATGTTTTATATAGGTCTGTCGACATACACGAAGTCAGTTCAGGCATAGGCAACAGTATATACAACGGTGTTGTAATGTAATCGTCCAGGTTTACCGTGCTCTAGATTCATCCTTTGAGTTGGTATGGCCTATGTCGCCATTGTTCACTACTGTTACCGGTTACTATTTGAAGCATATTGATATTTACAGTACATTAATGAATAACGATAATTTATGTAGAACTTTAAATACGTCGTCATGAGCATGCCCAGAGGATTTTATTTAGAATCTATTACAAAGATCCTAAAGACACTATTTTCTTTGTAGAGACTGTTTGGAGGCGTTTTGGGGGTTAAAGGGTCTCGAATTTTTGGTAACAATTTTTAAGAATATGATTTACATTAAAATGAATATAGTTATCGTTTATAGAGATGAGTCACGTACAGGCAATGAATGGAAATGAAAATGAAACAAAAAGTTTTTCGAACATACAGAAAATTGGTAAAGCATCGTTATTGTGTGGTCTACAAATTCTACCAATAATATGAGCAAGCTGTAATGTACTGAATAAACACTATTTTTACTAGGCCTACTTACCTGTGCTTTAGTAAATACATCATTGTCCTTTGTATTTAAGCCAAGATCTTGGCAAGCAACGTTGCAACAACTCATGGTTCCAACCGGCACAAGAGCTACCGTAACGGATATTCTTCCAAACTCCACAGTCGAGTAAATCTATACTCCTTTAGTCCCTGTTCCTCACCAACTTAACCCCCTAAACTCATTCGTAATACTAAATCAATTAATATTTTACCTACTCCTCCACGATATATACAATCGCTCCGAATATCTTCCCAGCTATATAACTGTTTCAACATAAAGCTTTCTGGGAGTTTTTGTTACCGGCGACTGCTGCAACAATAGAGTCTCTTTATGCTTTATTCCTCAACCGTGAAACCTTTCTCTGTTCATGCAACCATAAACGTCAGAATGTGCTGAATGGTAATAGGTAATTATGCCGCTAAAAAAGTTCATTTTAGTAGGTTTATTGTATGATTGTGACACAAATATACACGCCTACATAGTCATGTCTATGAATATGCTCCAGTTTTAGCGGCAAGACACGCCTCAATAGCGAGAGGTTACAGGTTCGAATCCATCAGGCGGAGAGTTTTTCATACAACTGATCAAAAGGAACTTTTCGTTGAAGAGTTACAGTACGACTATAACATTATGTTCCTTTATTCAAGCATTCTTATCTTTTACGTATTTGTTTTATATAGTGCTTACGATGCTACGCAGCAAACATGAATATTATTTCTGAACTTATAGGCCACGGAACAGCAAGACGGTTTCCTGTATTGCATCAGGGAACAGTTAAATTTAACGGTTCCCTAATTGCATTGTTTAAAAAGAATATTTTTGGAGATGTCGCCTTGTCCTTTTAAAATGCTTATAAGTACGCATCACATTGATGTTAGCAGGCACGGTACCCCTGTCGGCTGCTAGCACTTGTTTATTAGGGTTTTCCACACATTCAATAAAATTAGGAATAAGAAGATATGCAGTTTATTAATGATTCACCTGCAAAATTGTTTGTTTGCTATTGTAAGAAAAGAGGAATCAGACAGAAAAAAACTAAAACCCGGGCCACACTGGGACTTTCGCGTACGCAGGATGGTAAACTTCATAATCAGATTGACGTTTACCAGTAAACCTGGTGTGTTGATGTTGTATGTACCTTCAACCATAGAGAAAATAGAACTCTATGTTCAAACAAAGCAATTGTTTTATATTGTATGTTTAAGACATCCTGTAATGGGCGATTCCGCTGTTGGATGCAATTGAAATAAAATAAAATAATAAAATAAAATTCAACAATTTGTTGAATTGTCTTGCTTCAAATCTCTAGCATAATGCCACATTTTGTTGAGATTCGTATAGTTTAGAAAAACTATAGAATATAATTATCTGATCGTCTTGTCAATTACACTTAACAGACAGACAACAGCTTGATCTTATCCATTTCAGTATTTGTTTCCAGATACTCTTCACTACATCAGAAAGAGCATGTAGTATGCGCTATAATGCAAAAACCCTTACGACATTCACTTTCATTAGAAAACAAAACACCAGGAATTAGCATGCATAGTGGAGTTAAGTAGCTTGGTGGTTAAAATCCTTGTCTTCTAATACCAAGGTACTGGGTTCAATTCCTGTAACAGCAAAACTTTTCTCACGACCAAAAACAACTCCACTCCAAAAAGCGACTTAATTTATAAAGTATAATTCCATCCTGTAAGTGGATGTGAAGGCAATAAAACAAAGAACAAAGAAATGGCTCCCTCACTTGCCTTTTTATTTCGATCCTCAAATCGTTCAACGTTGGATCCTAATCGGTTTAAAATGCAAAATGATTGCATAATAATGGTTGTAGCACTGATAAACGAATTCATACTTTGTTACAAGAAAGTCCATTCTGGACATTACATTATATATATATTAACTTATATGGTATTTTCCTCTTTCCTTTATGAATACGCTAATTTTATAAATAGCACACTATAGTATCTTTGTGATGCAGACGAGAGATAGCTGGAATGGGTTTACTGGGTAGCTCAGACACGAAGAGACCATACATCGAGCCCTTTCAGACTTTAGTATAAAGCAATATATGAATCCAACAACATTAAATCTTTATAACATTATTTATTTAGCTCTGTCCACACTGTCTGTCATGTGACAATCACATGACAGACATTTGTCACAGGAAATTACACTGTGAATAGTGCATAACATAATCACTGAATTAATGCACAGTATTAAGTGGTTATTGAATGTTTGTGACTGACATTCTAATCGGTTTAACTTTGCATTTTCTTCAGATTAAATTTTTGTTATTTTAAACTATTTAATGCTGCTTTGTATTGTTTATTATTCTTCAGTTTCTTAACTTCTTTCTATGATTTTTAATTGCCTTTCGTCATTTTGTCTGTTTTCCTTCTTTCAAAGTTAGGCAGACATAGGACAAACATAATTTACTTTTGACTGTCCTGGCAAACCTGGATCATGCATCTGAATGTATTCTTCACCTTCTTTATTTTTCATTGTTTTTATTTTTTATCTTGCAATTTTTTTACTCTGCTTGTAAGTTCATTTATATATGTTCAGTTGAAAAATAATAAAAAAAATATACAAAACAATAATCACTGCTTTATTTAAATATTACTTTATTGAAGAAAATGACATTTAAATCATTATAACTTACAGAATCCCCTTCTCTTCTCAACCAATTAGTTTTACAGGAGGAAATGAACTGACAATTCTTAATTTTTAGAATAAAACACAATAATGTTGGACAAGTACTGTATTAATTAATAATAGGTTAAAAATGATAAAATATAATTGGAAATACTGCAATGTGTTACTGAAGACAATCCATGTTTTAAGCTCCTCATTTTAAGTTACATTTTTAAAGATGAAGATTGATTTGTAATGTAGTGAATTATCTGATCCATTCATGGCGCATCCATTTCAATTGCACTACACAGAACCATTCATTCCTTCATGCAAGGATTCAAGCTTCTCTCTGCAAAAACAAGATACCATGGCATACGTTTTAATTAACATCATGGTGGTATAAAATCATACAAATCTGTGAGATAAAACTAAAAGAACAAGGCAGCTCTTAAAAGAATAGTTTGAACATTTCAGGAAGACAAGCCTTTGTGCACATAGTGTATTTAATCAGGTAAAACATAAATGAACAAATAAGCACCACAGCCCTTATAGACAACACCATATGGTGCTCACTCAAATGGGGCTCTATTTATGGACAGTGATTGTGTCATAATGGATACCACAGATGTAACTGACTTCCAATGTTAGTAATACAATTTCTGTGACAAATCAGCTGTCTAATAGTGTCCCAATGATACCAAAAATTAATTTTTAAAAACATATCTAATTAGCACAACAGTTTTTCTTTTGGAGTTTGCCTAGCAAAAAGTTATGTATGCTGCTAAGATGATTTGAAAGTAACACTATTGTACCACCACCAGGAAGTTGCAATCTATTGTTTTTTCAATCAAATAAATATTTTAGATCATGTTTGTTTTTAACAACTTTACACTAAACTATAACAATTCTGTAAATAAAGTCACGTTTTATTGTTTAAAGGTTTGAATGGCCAAGTACACCATATAAATAGTTCTGAAAAGAACTGTTGTTTGTTGAGAAATCATGTTTAATAAACTTGTGTTATAACAAAAGATATGGGAAAATTGTACAAACTTAGAAAAGACAAACATGCAAACTTGTTCCTGCCTTTACATAGGTCACAATGGAATGCTCTAGGCAGGAACACTTCGAAATGCTTTAGGCAGGAATGTGTTCTTATGTTTTTCATTTTCTGAGTTGTTATTGAAAAAATGATTGTTTTTGTTGCTAGAGATTAAGTGTGTTCTGTCTTTTATCTTATATTATGTTAGTACAAACTTACTTTTCAGTCTTGAGCTGCTGTTGCAGTCTTTCTTTGACTGTCTTACTTGTGGCTTTAACCAACTTCTTCTCCATCTCTGTAATGTTAGCCTTGCAGCCAGTGACGTTGTGGAATACCTGTATGTGTCTATCACCACTTGTCACAAGGTAGTAACTGCTAGGGCTAAAGGCTATCGATGTAATTGGTACTGAAAGAAAACCCCATAAAATTGTCTTCGTTTGTATAACAAAAAGTAGTAACAACTGCTTATCTAGATGGACTATGCAAGGTGTTTGCAGGGCCGTATCCAGGATTGCCATTGGGGAGGGGGGGTTACAAAGAACAACAATAATAAATATAATAGCAATAATAGCTGCATAACTTACAGGCATGAACGTCTTCGTATTCCTGTTCTGCATCTCCTGTATCAGCATTATAGACATAAATATTGGTACCAGCTGCTATGGCGATAGTGTGAGAGTCATAGGACAGAGATATCTTACTAGGACCAGTGTGATTCCAGGACCCTGTGCGAAGCAGGTAAGGATCTTGCTGCTTCATGTACTCAACTGCAATACAGGAACCAGTGTTATTAAAACATTTTACACTATGTGGCTAGAGGGCCATAACATGTAATTACATACAATGATTCAACCTATTTTAAAAATACATGAAAAGAAATGCATAATATAAAATTATAATAATTAAAATTTGGTTCACTCAAATTCATGCGACTTTTTTTGTTGTGATCCCTTACATAAATAAGTAAATTATACATAGGATAGATATAGACAGAATGAATAATTAAAAAATTTGTTATAAATTATTTAAACCTAAATTTACTCCACTGATAATTGAATATATACATATTTTGCAATAAGTTAATCAGGGCTGGACAAAGTGCACAACCACACAACCGGCGGTTATGTGAAAAGGGAAAAATAATTCATGATTTTCACATTAATTCACTCCTCGTTATGACAGTGATCTCCCCCCACCACCGAAAACCACCACTGGTGGGCTATAGTGCACAAATAACATTTGGTGGTGAAGGCATCTTATCAAGATATTTGTTTTGTAGTTTGTAGGCACAAAATGTTTTTTTTTTCAGGCCAAAAGTTAGTAACAATAAAAGCAGCATATGTGAATAAATGTACACAGAAGGGTATAGCTCTTAATTTTAGTAACTTTTCAATCTCTTGTATTCTTAATCATTGAATCTATTGACTGGCAGTAGTAAAACCAGAGGGGAAGGGTAAAAGGCATGTTTCCCCTGACTTGCCATAACCAGACATCTATAAAATAATGAGACCATACATGTACAGCAGTAGTAGTTTGCATCCGCCTCTTCTACTCATATTATGTCCAATATATTGTATATACAGTACAATGTATTACTTACCATCTGTATCCCATAATTTCCAAGTACCATCTTTAGAAACAGTAGCCATTCTGACATTGAAAATAAAAACATTTGGATCAAGAAGAGATGAAAGTAAATCTTAAGCTGTCCTTCAGGTCGATGCCTCATAAATGATATTACAATACCTTATGGCAATAATAATGATTTAACTACCATTCCACCTATGATAATAGAAACATGAAAAACATTGGCTATCGTCTTAGTGTAAAAACTTCTCTTATTTCTTTTATTTTCTATATGAACAATTGCTTTTGTCATTATCGTGATAGTTGCAAGTATAAACAGGCAAATAATTAGAATTGTTTACAAATTCACTGAACTGAAACTGAAAAAATACCAAATATACCAATAGTTAGTAATCAATCAACTACTCTTGACTTTTTGAATTATTAGATTAAAAAAAAAAATAAAATTTTGCAACTGATAATTTAAAAATTATTTACCTGGTTGAATCTAGATTGAATGAAAAATGATAAACACTAGCAGAGTGTCCTTTTAGTTCCATGGCACGACGAACCTCTGAAAATTCACCGCTTTTGGTAAACACAACTTCCCATAATTTAACATCAGGTGTAAATCCTAGTGGATGCAAACATCACATAAATTCCATTAAAAAAAATATACAACAACAAGGGACAGTAGGAGCTGTGTGTTTGATTTATTTTGTAATTAACCAGACCTGTGATAAGAAGGTTGTTTCTACGTACATTAATAATGGCAGCATAATTATGAAAACATTTCTGGTTGTTCAACAAAAGATTATTGAAACCTGTAATATTAGTACAGAAGAGCAACAGCTTAGGTTTACATAGAAACAAAAAGATGTGAATTTCGTAAAAATTGAGAATAGGTGTGAAACAGAAATGTTGATTTAAAAGCTATCATTCTACTAGTTAAGATTATAACAGAGCTTAGTCCATATTATATAATCATATGTGACAAAAATTATATCTGGGTAATATTCAATTCAAAGTAACATTTATTTGATTCCTTTTCCAGTTCAAGTACAAAAAAAAAATAATTCAGGGGTAAAGGAAAAAGGCACAGACCCTGGAAGAAAAACTCTTGTGAAGGGTCAGCCTGAAACAGTATGACAAAAAGGGGACACAAAAACAAACAGAAAGAAAAAGGTCATGGACAAAACAGGACAAACAAGACACAACCAAACAAGAAAGCAAACGATTCAAATTAGACCAAGAAACCGAGCACAATTAACGTGCAAAACAAGGGGGATAATAAGGACAATATTTACTTTAAAGTTTAATAACTAGAAGTAAGGTGTTTCTTTAGCTGGATTGAAAACGATCTGTTATAAATGGCATCGGCTACTAGGGGAGGTAAGGAATTTCATAGTTTAGGGCCAGTAAACATAATATTATGTTGGTTGGAAATAATTTGTCTTATGACTGGGAATGTAAACATCAGATCTACCTCGAGTGCAATAAATGTGAAGAGCGGAATTGAATTTGAAAATGTCACAAAAATACTTTGGTAAAATGAAGTGAGATATGACATCATCATGCCTTTATAAAGGCACATCACACAAATTTGTCACGTAAAATTTGATAGTATGGATGGAGGTAAGACAGCCTAAAATTACCCCAGCCACTGTAACAAAGCAAGCTACTTACTGTTCATTCTCAGGCCCAATAATTTTAATATTAATGTGAATTGAATTGTATTTTTTCCTATCTTAATTGTGTAGTTTAAGCAATTTTAACTTATCTTATTTTTCTTAATTTCCTCTCAATTTTAACTGATAGTAATGTTTTATTGGCCATTGTAATTTAAGTAATATATGTCCCTATTTATTTTTTAATTGATTGTTTATCTTGTTTTGGTGTAGTTATAATGTGAAGCGCCTTTGAACATGATTACTTATGGAAAGGGCGCTATAAAAATTTGGTAAATAAATAAATAAATAAATAAGTAAGTATGCTTTATAAAATTATTTTTTAAAGTCATGATTTTTGACAGAATTTGCTAAGTATTTTAACTACTTAGTTCTACATAGCTCAAAGGTTTAATTATTGTTCGTGTTGCCACTAAAACAAAATACAATAATTTAGTTAATTTTCATCCTAAAGTATGTAACTAAATTGTCTACTGTCAGGTTAAACCCAAGAGCCTTGTATCTGATCAGATTATAGATTTTTATGTAAAGCCCTATTCACACTGTCACATTTTATTTCACAGAAACATGTGACATGCCTAAATATGGTCATGACAACTTCACATCATTACTATATATGGGCATACAACAGTTTTTTTGAAAAAGAAAATTTGATTCTGGACAGAGCTTAAGACTGAACATGTTTGATCAGACTTTGCCTATCTGAGCAAACAAATCATGTTTGCTGGAATATTTCACCTACCACAGGATGCAACAAATCGGCCACAATGCGATACAGCAGCATGATTGTTATTCATATGGTGTGTGTCTATTGTTGTTAGCACTTCACCTAAAGTACAAAACATGACATTCAGTGTTATTAGTTGGTGGACACAGGACTTTGAAATAGAGGGGACTCAGGGAGGGACTTTTATAGGCTTTTACAGATGGAAGGTTCAGACTACCTCAGCCCTGCCATAGTTGGAGCTGAGATACAAAATATTAAGGTTAGGCCCTTTAGATGACTAGAAATTGCACACTCAGACCAAGTTTGAATGTAATTTTATATATTTTCAATTTGTTTTTTAATTAAAAAAAAAAGATAAGATAACTTTTATTGTCCAACATAATAGAGGCCCACATCCTTGAATCTGCCCCTGGATATTACATGCTTGATTGGGAACTTTTCATTCAAGGATATTTCCATCTGTTAGTTAACCTCTTAACTGATCTTCTCATAGAAATGCAATCCTCAAATTTTACCTTTTAGATCCCAAATAATGATTGTTGTATCACCAGTTGCTGTCATAATGTAACTGCCATTTGGCACTGAACCGATACCAATATCAATTATGTCCAATACATGTTTCTGAAAGAAAAAGGATAACACAGTTTTGAAATGGTTTGGAGCAGCGGGAATGGTTTGGTATCCCAGGCACGAGGTAGGTGATTCAATCCCTTGCAGTGTATTGCGCTTGTGTCCTTGAGCATCTGCATTGCTTCTCTCCACAGGGGTGGCGCCAGCGGGGGTCCACAGCCCCCCTGTCGGGGGGTGCTGCCCCCCCCCCCCCCGTCGGGGTGAAAAAGCACAATTCGTCAGGGAGAAAAAAAAATTATATGTATTTTCTACATATTACTAGACTCTAAAATCGATTAAATGAGCCTTTTGAAACCCCTAAATTTTTCAAATTTTCTGGGGCCTTCGCCCCATGGAGCATTTTCGAAAAATTTAAATCGAAGCTCGACCACGCCAACATTGCTTTCGTCGGGGAAATCTGACCCCTCGTCGGGCAAATCCTGGCGCCAACCCTGTCTCTCCACCTTGGAGTATAAATGGGTACCTGGTAGGGTTGCCTGCTACTGTGCTGATTACCACCAGCAACACTTAAAGCATGTGGACCCAATGACCAGGGAAAATAACTGAGCTTTATAACACCAAGGAAGAGGCGCATTATAAATGCCTACAGTATGCCAGTACCATTCCAATCAAATGAATCAAATTCTATGACTTGTTCTCAGTACTCGAATTCACTTTACACTTACTACTGTATCAATGCTGGCCTCAAACAAGCTCTAGTAATACATCAAATACATCATGTTAATTGGAATTTAATCCACTGACATGAGTGTTTTCATAAAGTTTTAAAGTTTTAAAGTCTGTGTATTTGTTGGTAATAAAACTTGATACACTGGTTAGAGTATTTTATAGTGACAAGTTACTTATTACTAGCTGTTGAAAAAACAAAATTAAACAAAATTTCACCTTCGGAAAATCCAGTACGTTTGTAATGCTAGCAGCGTTACCATCTTCTTTTTTCCCGATTTTAAAAACTCTGATACAGTTACCATTAGATATACTTGTTATAAAAGCTCTGTAAAAAAATGGAATCCAGTGATAAAATCGGTTAGTTTAGAAATCTATCGTGAAATCATCAATTTAATTTTAAAATAATTTTTCTATCCTCGAGCCAGAAGTACTTTTCACCAGTATTCTTTAAACTGAGATAGTGCAGGCCTGGCCTTTTAAAAATCGTAGACGAGTTACAAACCACTATCCTCGATATTTTTTGGCGAGCTGTTGGAGTGCTTCAAATCGCTCTTCTTGTGCTTTTTAGGCGAGCTTTCAGGAAAAAAATGACTCCCCACCAATGAAAAAATCTTTAAGATGCATGTTTGTTAAAACATTCATCCAGGTCACCATATCATATAGTAAATACTGTATTAATACTCACCAAGAGTGCAAATAGCCTGAACATATCAATAATAGGAATGCAATGTTTACTGTTCTGTAATTATTGGACAAAATATTATTAAAAATAAATCTTCACAAAACTGAAAACTGATTGATACGTTTTTTTTCTCTATGTTTGTGAGGATGAAGTGAAGTGAAGACACTTGTTATTTCATATGTAAACTTGACAACAATCACAGGTCCTACTAAACACCAAACAGGACCAAACAAATTTTGACAATTTATTAATTGCTAAAGTATAAAAGTTACTAGTACAGAAAAGACAATTATTGGTCCCGTTTGATGTTTGGAATGGCCAACAATAACAACCAGAGACAACTATTTAACAATTGATCATAACGTTTATTCAACTTCAACAATCTTTCAACGTTTTTTAGAAGTCTGAATCATCAGAAGCCATGCTTAACAATCTGACTTTCTTTAGAAGTCTGAATCATCAGTAGCCATGCTTCCCAGTTCAGAACCAGATTCACTATGTATCAGTTCATCAAAGTCACCATTATAATAATGGCCACTGTCTGACACATCACTAGTTTTTGCAGAAGAGTCTGTTGAGGACTCATCTTCAGACCCTGACGACTCACTTTCTGAATATACGGACACTTGGTGACTTTGTTTTCTTTTTTTTTCTGATACCCCAACTGTTTTCTGTTTTAAGTTTCTCTTTGATGACATGTGCTTTCTTAGTGCACTTTCTATAATGTCTACTTTATCAGTCCATGAGGAATGGTTGCTCTTAATTATTAGTAAATTTTCCATAGTTGAATGATTTAATGACAGTCTTCTGTCCGACAACATATTAGTTAGAATACTGAATGTGCGCTTAACAGTTGAGTTACTGGGGCGTATGCATAGGATAATTTCAACCAACTTTATCAAACATGGAAATTCTATACAGACAGATCTCTATACAAACTGAAGAAAAAAAAGAGTATTTTCTAATCTTAAGCAGGTACCCTCTCAATTTGGGCTTCGATGCCCGGTACGCATTGTTAGCAATAACATTCTCGATGCATTGGCTGAAAATAACCCCTTTTCTCTGATGATTTATAAATCTTGTACCATGCACTTTAGGGAATGAATACACCTGAACATGGCTATTCTTTGCCAGCTGTTTAAACTCCCTCGATAGCTTACCAGAACGTTTCATAGTGTAGTAAATTGATACCATAAAATCCTTAATATCACTAAACTGCTTTAATTTTAAAAGCGAGTCTTTTAGAGCCAACTCAAGTCTGTGGCTAACACAGTGCACCGTAACCAGCCAACTTCTTTCTCTTTTAAGTTGCTGAAGTATACCATTGTAAATTCCTGTGTTTACTGATGGTCCGTCAGACGTTGCAGAAACCATAATGTTGATGAATCTGTAGAATGAGAAAAAGCAGTTGGATTAACCAAATGATTATTGTAATGTTATTTTTAATGAAGACTTGGATTTGGCCTTTTTATTGTGAAATATATAGTGATGTTTTTATTTATCTCAAGTTTAATTTATTTAACTGCACTTTACTTTATTTTTTTATTTTAAAGAACCGCAAGTAATAATTAAGTTTTTATTTATCAACACGTTGATGTTAAGAGCAGCTCAAGTTTGTTAACCATTAAAACAGCAATACCTGTGTGTTGTCCGTGTTTGTTTAAATACTACTGTACTGTGTAAGAAAATTGAGGGAACATATTGCTGTTGAAATATTTTTGTTACTGTTTGAGTAAAATCAATTAAAATTATTCCTCACCTTTCGGGTGGTAGCTTGAGCTTCGAACTGAATGCTGCATCAATTGTCCTTTTAAGGTTGTTCGTGTTTGCATCACCAAAGTCATCTATATCCTGTAGTGCTACTGTGTAGTACACCGCTATCCCATTATGCACGGTTCTCACAAGTACTAATTCTTTTTCCGATTCTGTGTTTTTTTAGGTTGAGATCCGTCGGTCAATACAGAAAAGGCAGTTGCACTGCACAAAATAACAGCCACTTTTTCTCTAATGGCTTCAGCAAGCTCTGATACAAACTGTGCAGCTACCTTTCCCCTATCACAACCTTCTATCAATTGCACCACATTTTCTTTTTGACACTTGACTAATGTTTTAAAACTTATGAGGGGCATGTTACCAGCTTCTGCCAAAGAATATGCCGTTTTTAATAGTTTCCGGTATGCTTCTTCAGCTTGTTTGTGAACGAGATCCTTTATTTTGGGCTGGTCTCTATTTGTTGTTGAACTTGTACTACTACTTCCTTTAACATCATCTCCTTGTCGTGTATCAAAAAACAGTCTTAATTTATGTGCCTAGAAAAAAAAAAAAAAAATAGCCTGATCATTAATATTTTTAAATTAAAAACACAAAGTTTGATAAAAAAAAAACAACAAACAAACTTGTGTCTATTTAATTGAATAATCTAGAACCAGAAACACCCCTAGGCCTACATGCTCCACCCTGAATCAAAATATCCCGAATGTAAGGCCTAGGCTACTTACTTTTACTACTAAGTAGATCCCTATTTTAAACCTAGGCCCTAACACAGGGAATACTGTATAGACGATAGGAGTTTCCCGACATGTCAGCCATGTGCAATGAAAGGTTAAAATTTGTTGTGTTAAAATAAAAAAAAGCATGCCCTAATAATTAACTTGCCTACGGTGTAAAACTAAAACATCCATCAAACCACACGCAGCAACAGAAATGATTAAACACCGTCTAACTATTAAACTAAATCCTTTCCGAGCCACTGGGGCTCATAGGGCTGGAGCTTACCCCCAGTTTCTGCAGTGTGAAGCGGATGAGAGTTGTACTCCCCGTGGACGGGACACTAGTCCGTCGCAAGTTAGTCCCAGAAGATTGCTTGTACCCATTGATACAGCTGGGTGGACTGAAGCAATGTAGCTAAAGTGCCTTGCCCAAGGACACAAGCAAATCTGCATAGCGGAGACTCGAAACCCCGACCTTATGATTGTAAAAGCCCAAACCTGAACCGCTGCGCCAAACCGCTAAACACCGTCTAGGCCTAGCCTATTCATATAAAATCTTTAGTACTTACCATCGATTCTATGTGTCGTTTTGCTGTGTATTTCGTTACGAAATTCGTCCCGCTGGCGTACTTTTCAACCTCTTTTGCAGCTATACCCTTTATAGTACTGTCATTTTTGATGAGTTCAAGATTCCGCCTACAACTTTTACACCATATATTTTTCACTAGTGTCACCCCATTGCAGACGCTAGTATTGTACCCGTAAACATGGCTCAAATTCCACTTCATAAAAGTATTTAACTGTACTGAATTCGGCATCATCAGGTAATCGTAAAAATATTAGCTGTATTAAAATGGCGATGACTGATCGCATAACTGACTGAAAGCATGACGCAGTTCAGACATCGATGAACTCCCGGCCCGGCCCCGCTTTTGCAGCGCGCATTAAGACAGACCTGGGAATCATTATTATGGGATGGATGGGGAGGAGTAGCGCGTTACCGCATCTCTCGGTGGCCTTGGATGACCTTTTGATCGCCAGATGGCCAGAGACAAACAAAAAATAATGATTTATCCTAGAATTATTTTAGATGCGTGATATTTTGCGCTCCTTGTGGTGGATTGAGAAGCGCTGTAGCGCGCGATCGCGCGCCTTAAAATAATAATAATAATATTGTGGCTAGTAATCAGCGCAGTGTTGGAACCTACCAGGTACCCACTTGTACAGTACTCCTGGGTGGAGAAAGGCAACCGTAGATAAAGTGCCTTGCCCAAGGACACAAGCGATTTGCAGAAGGCCTGTAGTGACTGTTGCTATTCTAGTTTCTATTGCTGCCTAATAGTTCCTGTTGCAAACCGACAATTTCATTTGCTAGGCATACAACCATGTTTAATACTAATATTAGCATGCTATAGTAGGGTAGGCTTTGTAACACTGTGTTGTTATTGAGTACTAAAAAATGGCTTTCATAAAATATTAATAACAAAGCACATTCAATCTCATGGCTTGAGGGCAATTACTGTGGAGCCCTGTATTTTCGCGGCCCTATATTTTTTGCACATTTACAATTTTCATCCGTTTTTTTAACATGATGCAAAAACCTACAATTATGTTTTTTTAGTCTATGTTTTATTAGCTGGAGTTCCCAATTTTGGTGGGGTTCTCCAGATTTTTCTAGCAATTTCCTACCCTTCCGATTTTTAACTGCTCCACGGCACTGCTTGAACAAGGTTTTTTTAAAATCGCAATCGTTGTCTTATCGCAAAAATTAAGGGTGCGCAAAAATAAAGGGCTTTACAGTATATTTATATCTTTAGATGCTCAGAAAACAATGTAGTGGAGGCAAACTTAGAGAAGAAATTAGGACTAGGCTAGTCTATTCTTTGTACAGAGTTAACAGAGCATACAAATGTACAATAGCTCGGCCTAGTCCTAGATGAAATAATACTGGTGATAAAGTGATTAACCTTTAAAGCAATTATTGTATTACTGGAATGGAAAATAATGACCTGTAGAAGCCATTATTTCCTTCACAAATTTGTTTATTTATTTTATATTTATTTTTTATTTATTTTTTAAATTTTTATTTTTTTTAAAAATATATTTTGATATGATTCTTGGTCTGAATACTGCCAGCGCCTCAAAACTGTTCAATAATTGCTTTTTAGTAAGCAACATAAAATAAAAGAAATAGGCCTGGATTGTTTTGATAATATAAAAATGACGATAACAGCAAGTCAAAAGTAATATTAGCAACAATAACAACAAATATTAATTACAATCAGGAGCAATGTACAGTATGGATTGATATACTGTAGTGTAAAGTTAGAAACAAGTACTTACTTGCAATCTGGACTAAATTTCACATTTGTTCCATGATCATATTCCACATTTCCTCTCAAACATCTGGGAAAAATATTAATCATATAATTACAATAATGATCAAATATGTATAACTGACACTTATGATACAACACTATCATAAACACATAATGTATTTTACAGATGTTATTATTTTAATCATCAGTCTTCACATTTAGACACATTCTAGATTTTGCAATGTATACTGAGATAAACACAATTGATTTTAGTGCTTTACAACAGATGTAAAAATTATAAGTATTAAACAATTTAAGATTAAAATTTAACATTTAATAAGACAACTTTTATTGCATGACATACTGTACACTTAACATATGTTTTATCTGTGACAAAATGAAACACATAAAACAAATAGTAGGCCTACAATCAAAACACAGTGTACTGTAGCATCTAAAATTAAGTACAAAAGGTTAATGTCATTTAGTTTCAAATTACAACAAGAAAATAATATAAATTGGTAATATTCTAAAATGTACAAAGCTGAGAGGCAGAATGTAATCCTAACTATTTTAAAGGTTAGTTATACTTCTTTTTACTGTGCAAATTAAGATTGTTCTATTGTATAATTTTATTTATTATTTTATTTATTTTATATATTTCAACTTTTGTTTACCAAAGCCACAATATTTTCTTAGACTTACTTGTGCTCTTTATCCTTAAACTCTTTCAAACTCCAAATGCGTACAGTGCGATCTAAACAAAAAATACAAACACTGTAATCATAATACTAAATCATAGTCATATTTTTTTTATTCTAGTACAAAACAACTTACCAGTAATTGGCTGAGTTTTCTGAAGGCTGATACAAAGAAACCAGAAAATATAAGCCATTACAGGCCATTACAGTAATATGCTCTTTAGATCAATAAAAGCCACTAAACACTCTTCTCTGGTGAGAACAGGCTTGTGTTAGATGTGTTATAAAAACAAATGGTGAATGTTTTGTATTCGTGCAATGCAGATAGTATTTTCATTCGTTGAAAGATTGACTGTTCCAACGAATGAAAATATTCTTCCCATTGCACTCATAAACATTATTATTTGTATAATAGTTTTTATACCAACTATTTATTTTTTAGTTTTTAACATTGTTAAGTCACACATAATACACCATGAGCATTTTGCATAAAACTTAATTAGGAAACGGATACTGTAGGCTTACTGTTCCGACATGCCATAGTACATTAAGATATCAAGACTAAAGTTAAGGTTAGGGTAAAGTCAGCTTCATAAATCAATACATCAGATTTGTGTAAAATCATCACAAAAATATCTGTGGTGAATTATTTATGCTAAATATAAATCTGTACAGTTTAGTATAAACAAAAATAGAAAACGTATTACCTTCTGCACATGATGCAAGATATTTGCCATTTATACTAAAGTCTAAATCTACCACATTGTCCGAGTGACCTTTTAAGGTAGCTGCTAAATAAGGGTGTGTAAATGAATGCTGTTGCTTCTTCGGTGCCTTTCCTTGCTGCTTTGATTTCTTGCTTTGTTGTTGTGGGTTTTTTTTCTCTTTCTTTGTGGATTTCTCATCTACATTAATCAGAATGTTAGAGTTATATAGATATAAGAGTTAATTTCTAGAATCTAAAACTATTTTATAAATTTGATATATGACCTATGCCTAGCATTTAAACTTTTTCGAAAGCATTCATTATTTCTATCTATATTTTCCAATAATTGTTATCTTTACAAAGTATTATAAATAGGCATTGTTATGCTACAGTAGTACTGAAAAGTAGGGCCTAATCTAGCCCTAGGAAAACTGAGGAAGGAACAGTCTCACACTGTTGTTTGGCGTGCCCTCCTCCGTGCTGTAAAAACATATTTATTTTTTAGGATAGCCCTGGGCCTACTGTAGGCCTAGACCTATTTACAAACATTGGATTATCAAGAAAGAAAGAAAGAAAGGGTAAAAATAAAGAATGATGTACAGGTCTGGGACCCAGCCCTGATACCTACCTGTAGAGTAGCCCTAGTCTAGGCCTCTAGATATAAAGAAAATGCGTCTCTCTCTCTCTCTCTCGCTCGGGCTTGCCCTAGATAAACAATGAAGCCAGTCCTACTAGCATGAGCCGGGCTAGAGAAAGTGATACCTAAAGTAAATATAACCAGTACCTACCGTGTTCTTGATGTTCCTCCTCTTTTTCACCTCTTACTGAATTGCATAAAAGTATGAGAACCAAAACTATGGCTCCGACAGCAGCCGTCAAAACCAAAACAGGTACGCTTTCATCGGCCACGTCTGTATTCGCCATGTTCTTAAAAGCAAAGGACGCCATCTACAGGGCCACATTTAATTAAGTTTACAGAGTAGCAGTTAAGTAAAGTAGCACTGTCACATGCAACAACCTAACTTTACTGAGATAATGAGCGTCTAGTAAACTTCAGTACACTTTTTTTTTTTTTTTTTTTTTTTTTTTTTTTTTTTTTTTTATATGTAAGAACACATTTTATAGGAACACTGAGGCTGAAATTTCTTAAACAATAAGAACAAAATAAGAACAAATTGAGGCTGAAGTAAAATGTCAAATGAGGTTTTTGAAAAACCAAAAACAAATTATATCTGTACCTTACTGTAGGCCTATGTGCAGTTATGTAGGTGACATATAATACTCCCTATAACCAGGTGTATTGTCATTTGGGGCCATTTTTACCAGGCCTTTTTTCTGGGGCAATTTTTCCAGGGCATTTTTTTAAGGCCCATTTTTGCTGTACAATAATAATTTTCTATGTTTGAAAAGTGTGTAAAATAAGAAAAAATTAAGAACATTTTGAGCCTGAAATCGGCCAAAAAATAAGAACACTGAGCCTGGGCAAAATTTACTGGTTCATTCATATGAAAAAAAAAACTAAGTGTAATGATATGTTATAGACAATAATATACAGTAGGCTATTCTGACTTTCTTGTATGTTCCTTTATTGGTATCTTGTTATCAACTGCCTTAAGGCTCATGTGTCCTTACCACAGAGCTATTTATTAATTCTTATTATATCGGTAGTTGCTAAATACAACGGGTTCAGCCGAGGGGGCGTGGCTTGTATATGGTGACGTCAAGTATAATTAAGCCGTCTACCAAAAAACATCACACTACACTGACTGTGTGACCAATGTGAATTTAGCAAGGCGAGCAGGCTAGGGTTTAGCTTATGTTTTCTCTTGTGCTGCTGCTACGAGCGGGTGAGGGACGATCGAGTCCATTTTCAGACAATTGGCCTAAGTAGTATGGACGTTATAGGTCTAGGCTCCTGGGTTACGTCGGACCAGGAGGTCTTTTCAGTAGTCTGGTGCCTAGACCTAGATTGTGCGTCCAGCAACCCGCAGCAGTCCGTCTAGGCCTATGCCTCATTTACGTGATGTTAGGCGCATGCAGAATCTGTTGTAAGACCCTCGCCTGGCTACTGAAAAATCTGCACTGAATAGGCGCATATGGGCCTACATAACATTACAATACAAAATACACGACATTGGAAAGTTAATATATTACTTAAATTGCATATATATAACATTCGGTTCCTTTCTCTTTTTCTGGATTATAGCCGGCAATATTCAAATCAGTGAACACTAAAAAAAATCTGAACTTCAGCAGTCATGTTGTAAAAGTTGTAATTTTAATTTATAAGGCCCTCGAGGTCCCCGACGAAAAAAGTGAACTTCGGACGTCCCTCAATATCCGTCGAAAGTGTTCCTCTTGGCTCCCCACCAACCCCCGAAAAAGAATTGGTTTGAAAGGCTTACTTAGTCGATTTTGGTGTCTACTAATATGTAGAAAATACATTACATTTTCCCCCCCCGACGAATTGAGGTTTTTCTCCACGACAGGGGGTGGAAGAGGAGCCAGATCTCCCTGACGGGGGCCCTGCCCCACCCCCACCCGCTTCCCCTGCTAAGTACAGTGTACTATAGTAGGGCCTA